AAATATGCAGCGAGAGAGAGAGAGAGAGAGATTTGGTGCGTTCTGTTGTCATCTAGCGAACGAATGTACTTTGACATCTCAGGGGGAAACTGTTACTGGTTGCCTTCACAAAGTGCGATGGAAAATGGCCTTACATTCCCCCCCCTTTTTTTTTTTTTTAGAAAGAGATGGGAGATGGGTCAGGGAATATGACAAAGCTTCAGGGCATTTAGTGGGAGTGGGAGGAGTGGGAGGAGTGGGAGGAGTGGGAGGGGGAGAAATAGGATTACAGAATATAAGAGAGGATAGATGGGCCTTTACAGTCAAGTGGTTTTCTGGTTAATATTTTAGTACCAGTATTTGAAGAGAAACATCATAATTAATAAGTGATCTGAGCCATTTACAGTAGATAAATCTGGATATGTTGAAACAGAAGTGATGGCTCTGAGTCAGTTTCACACCATCACAGTTTCAGTTCTAAGTTCTTTTCATTATCTTTTATTTTATTTTCTTACATTGTAGAACTGATACTTTTTGTTGTTTTGTTGGTGAGTTTGCAGAACAAAAACAAGTGTGACATGAAGGGAACATATAATACACAGACATGTAAATAAAAACAGACGAGACGAAAAGATTAAAAGAATATGGTGTGTGTGTGTGTGTGTGTGTGTGTGTGTGTGTGTGTGTGTGTGTGTGTGTGTGTGTGTGTGTGTATTTTTTGAGGTCTATGTGTGATGTAGTCGTATGTATCTGCCTTTTCTGAGAGGGTGAAAAGGAAAGTATGGTGGGCATTAATGATGTCATATAAATATAATCGTAGGGAGAATGTAATGGAAATAAAATAATTAAAAATAATAATAAATAAATGATAATAATAATAATGATAATAGTAATAATAATAAAAACAATAATAATAAATGTAATAATCTTACAACAAAAAATATGCAAATGTGATATTATAAAATGTAATAGAATATAATATCAAACAGTGTAGAATAATATGATAATAGTGTGGTGGTGTTAAAACTGATGTTATGAGACTAGTATTTATTATTTGTATAATATAATAATTCTAAACATGTTATAATAATATAATAAAAATTATATCTTATATTTATAATATAATATAAATTATATTATGTAACAATTATATTTTAACAACGTGACGTTACGTGTAGTGATGGGTGTTGAGCTCAGGTCGGCTCAAGTTCTTTTCATTATCTGACAGACACACTTTCATCCTTCTGAACTGAGTTGTGAGTTTTACAGTAGAAATTTTATGTGTCTCAAGTGCGTGACGTCACAGATGAGCACAGTCACGACTGTCTGCCCTCAGGCTTCAGGGCAGCACTTTCTGACGCTAATACCTCAGGATCGTAAGGACAGTACAGGACAGTACACTGTGTCAAAGCTTACAAATAACGACCCTGTTATGGTAACTAATCAGCGGAGAACCGTAAATTAGCCAGAGAACCCAACTAACTTGTTCTGTGTCCATTTACTTAGGTTTGCATAAACTGCCCGTCACACAGCTGCCGCAGGTTTCTACACCCAGCACATACTGTACATGTGTGTTAATACAACAAGCTGCGTCACAACAGAAACTTAAAACTCCGCTGGGTTCATGCATCGAGATGTGTGATGGTAGTTTTTTAACTGTGCATTTACTGGAACAGGTAAGAGACACTTCATCAGTCACGGTGTGGTCATTGGTTGGATCAGGTCCTGGCAGGACTCCCTGCAGGAGGACAGAGTAGGACCTTCTGAGTCTGGTCAAGCACAGAGACACATGTTTATTAAACCACATGTTTAAGCGCTGTTCAATTATTTACCATCGTCCCGGGTCAGTGTGCCTCAGACCACGTTATACTTTCATTCAAGTCTAGGTTTTATTAGTTTTGTGGGAATAGACTGAAATGCCCAGATGCAGTGAACAATGAAATGTTTGTAATTAACATTTTTGTTCAAACAAAATGTTCCTGGTCATTCTTCTCTTATTTCATACAAGTGGATGTTCAGTGAGCTCCATGCTTTAAGTAACTGAAGCCAGATACACAGTTTATTACAGTGATAACAGAGTCAGTGAGGGTAAACTGACAGCTCTGATTAGACTGGATCTTTACTCATGTCCAATGATCAGAGGTCTGACTGTGGTGAAGGTATTTGGATAGATCAGGATTATCATATTAGGAGTTTTTATATGTCGTCAATCTTTATGGGCTCTGATACGTTTTCCACCTAAAATCCTCACCATGACTCCTGCTGTCTGTAGTTCCTGTCACAGTCTTCTTTTCCACTCTCTTTGCATTTCAAAGCTTTGAGTTTTAGAGGATTCAGTGGAGAAGTTGTAGATCTGATCTGGTTAAAGACGACTTTAACATGTTGGTTTATTTATTCATTTTAATCTCTGTGTTTTTTGTGAACTTGTGCAGGACTTCCATCGGCTCTGAGTCTCAGTGGTCCAGAACTGTCTGAACCCAACCTGGTGTTTTAACATAAAACATACAGACTATATTATCACAGTGTTATCAAAGAATTAAGAAATGCTTACTGGTGACACGGTGCTATTTGAACATCACAAATAGATTTAAAGCTTCATGCACTTCCTGAGAATGGACCCCACACATCATGGCAGTCACATTGGGCAGATAAGATTGTGTGTGGGGGGGTGACGCCTTACTACGTTTAAATATGAAAACAAATGAGCTGAGCAGATGTTCAAGAACAGATATGACTTGTCTCATCCTCAGCCTCTTCTGTTTTGTCCTGAATTTATGAAAGTCAGTGGAAAAGACGCAGACAAACGGAGAGGCAGGGACACAAACCCACACACACATTAACATCCTCCATCCTTCATTTCAGTAGAAGGTCATGGTTCAGTTCCTCATGAACGTGATGATATGATGCAGTAACACTGGACACTGTAGCAGAGCTTCTCTGCGTTGTTTACGATCCTTATGCTAATGTCATCTCCACTATAATACTACAGAACATGATGTGGACATCCTGATTCAGCACTGCCACATGAGCCAATCACTGGGCCATTTCTGCTCTTTCTGTTTTCTGTGTCAGCAGTTCACGTCTGGAGGCCTGATAGGCTGACGGGTTTCGTAGAGGGAGGGGTCGTGGAAACGGTGTTAAGGATGTTAAGGACTAAAGATAGAAAGAGAAAAATTTGTCAAAATAAAAAAAAAACCTTCAACACATTTCCAAAGGCCGCTGCCCAGGGTAACAGCTTCTGGAGTGGAGGGTGCCAGGTTTCTTTATTTTGCTGCTCGCTGGAAACGAGCATCGAGCAAAGAACAGAGGAACAAAAACAACAAGCAGTGCTGTATGTAGTTTAAACAGACTCCAGTCTCCAGCCCTCCCAGCAGTTCTGCATCAGCTTCCTCTGTGTTACTGTCTGTGTTGACCAAAGACGAACTGTGCTTGTAGTATGATGCTGATATTCCAAAGTTTGTTTGGATAAATCTGAAAAGAGCTGACACCAGGAAACTAAATAAAGTGTGGGTGAGCTGGAGGCTGAGGGGAAACCCCAGCACGTGGCAAATGGAAATTTATCATGGCAGCTATTTAAAGTATATTGTAAAAAACAAAAGTATTGTAATATTGAGAGGGTTGTGTGTAGATTTACCTGTTAATGATCATACAGTGTCACATCATGTCTGGAGTCACTGGCTGCTGGTTACAGTGGCTGTGAGGACACGAGCTCTGTGGATGGATAATCCTTGTAAACCTAAAGTTGAATATTGAAGCGGGCTGAGTGTTTAGTGTACATGTAAGGGAGTCGATGTGCGTAGCTGTTTACATGTCTACAGCCTGTACTGTAATCATGTAAATGAGGCACGGTTTGCTCTTCCTGTTCTTTTACATGAATTGCGAGCCTAGAAATTAGTATGGACGAGTGCATTTTCTCAGTGTTGTTTCATAAGCTTCTCAGAGGAACTGATCTTTACTTTCTGTTCTATGCACAGCGTCTGAGCAGCAGACACAGATTTGAATTTGCTTTGTCACTGTACACTGCAAGAGTAGCCCATGTGTGTGAGCAGTACTGTACTTAACACTGCCATTTTTCATCAGTATAGTTGAACATGTGGAGGTCATGCATCATCTTCTATCTGATGTTGGTCTTTAAACTGGGAGTATTGCATTGCTGAGTGTGTGAGTCCATTGGTCTGAGTTGGAAATGCAGAGCATGCTAAATGCAAAAGGGAGTAAAGCCCTCAGTGCATTACAGCCAGTATGAAACATGAATATTTCCACTACGAGACAAAAGTTTTACAACTTTGAATTTACATAATTCAATGTCTCAATGTTTCTGAAATTAAAACACAGAACAGACAAACAACTGGAGTCATGGAATGATTCTTATATTTTTGACTCATCCAGCCGAACTCACTCGTTCGTCCCAACACTGTTGCAGAAGTTCCCACAAATGTGTGTCGCTTGCAGTTTTGCTTTGCTTTCACCACCAAGTCTGGAGACTGTGCTGGTCTTCATCACGTGAAGCCTCCGTCCGGTTCTGGTCTTCTCATGTTTTGGGTCATTACCTTGCTGTAGGATGAAGCCCTGACCAACCAGTGTGTGCCTTTTCCCCACCACTCTGATTCTACCTCCTGCAGGACAGTATTGTCCTAATGATGCGTCAGAGGGTGTCGTAACACTGTTTGTTCCGACGCTGCCTTTGTGCAGAGGGTTTGTCGGTCCTCAACCTGTAGGACATGTTTGCATTAACTTTCAGGGCTTCATTCGCTGCCACTGCTGCAGGAAGGTGTACTGGTGAACTGGTGAAACTTCAATATAAAGAGTGAAAATGAGTGTGTTGTGAAACTTCTGACTGGTTGAATGTGTTTACGAACTTAAGTGGGATTAAATTTAGGTGAGAGGAAATCCTGTTAATTTTCCATCATCACTACTCTGTCTGTTCACTTTCCTTAGTGAAGTGCTTTCTAAGTGCAGCAGTTGCATGTAATCCTTTTTGTACTTTTGTGGTGACATGGGTTTTCCCTTCCTGCCCTCAGGTCCTCCAGTCATCGTAGGAATGAGCATCAACATAGCGAGCATCGACTCCATCTCAGAAGTAAACATGGTAAGTTTTGGTCTTTTGGTTTTTTTGTTTTTGTTTCGGTGGTCGTGGTCTTCTCCACTGCAGCGCCCCTCTCCGCCGACTCTTCTGTTGACCTGGGGAGCGCTGCAGGTCCCGCACGCCTCAGCCGACAAATACATGATCCCTCACTGGCTTCCCACCCACGACCGCTGCCACACGCGGTTTGAACCGTGTTGCCGGACAAGAATCTCACAAGTTTGCACTGAATGAAACCAACAGATAGAAACATTGATCAGTTACAGTTCAGTCTGCTCACTGTTACAGCACATGTTCTGTTACTGTGGCGCCGACTCGAGAAATGCAGGGTGAGAGGTGAGGAAGGCAATATGGCTGGAGTCTGAGCGGTGACGTCATTCTGTCTCTTAGCGCTTTCTTTATTTCACTCAGTCTGACAGTCGCTCACTGTGCAGCTCATTCCTCCCACATGCTTTTCTATTCTGTCTTCTGCCTGTCTTTATTTCTTCGCCTGGGTTTATTCCTCTGGAGCGATCAGGTGACTCTCACCTGCTCAAAGCCACCGCACACTTTCTTTTACAAACAGTTTGTTTATGATTCTGCTTTCCCAGCATTTCTGCAGGGTGGCAACATTTAATGAGTATATTAAATTCTCAGTGATAATACTGCGTTCACCTTAAATTTGATGGGGGTTGAGATAGATAAAAAAAAATAGATAAATGTTAATGTTTGCAGCTGCTGGTTGTACAGTCAAGTGTGTGTGTTTTTGTCAGACCAGTTTAAAGTTCCTTTCCCCACATCTGCTTTGACAATTGTTCATTTTTAATGATAAATTGATGAGAGGGTTGATTGATTTGTTTATCGGCAGTATGGCCGAGTGCTCATTAGGAGCTCGGTGTTTATTCATTTGTCCACATTTGACATTTCTCAATACAACACGCTTTGTGTCATTAATAGATTAAGATGTAAGGGATACTCGGTATCCAGCGTAACGCTCCAACATGAACTGCAGGATGTCGTGCAGCAGGACTGAAGTATCAAGGCTGCATTGCACTATTTGATAAGAAAAACAAATTATTAGGGAAACACAGAACACAGAGCTGATAGTCCATTTAGCACGACTGCCAATACTGAGAGTTGTGTTATAGTGAAAGTGTGAGGCAGTAAACTGATCTGCACAATATTTAAAAAGTCTTTGAGTCATTTTTGGACTGCGTAGGTTTTACATGAAGCCGGTGCACTGATAAGGGTTTTTCATGTCACTCACTGTAAACAGTTGAGTGCTGTGACCACAGAGCTGGCAGACATCATATCTTCACTGGAGAGCTTCTGCTGGTGGAGACAGTGCTACACACAAGCGCTGGTACAGCTGTTTGTTGGTTTGCTGCCTGTGTCCTACTCCACAAACACTGAGCAGATTCCTTTTCATGATTAACAGTCGTAGATGTTGATGCATTTATTTATCTCTGACATAGTTTCATCAAAGTTGCCTTTTCCTCTTTTTCTTTATTTTGTGTTGTGATGAAGCTGAATAGAGATTTTTAATTTCTTGTATTGTCATGTTTTTGAGTTTGCACCACCTTGTTCCTGTTCTCTATATAACTTATGTTACTATCCATCAGTTTTGATTTCTCAACCTATAATAAACCATGTCCATGATTTCTGACTCCAGTCTCTCCATCTAGTTTCATCAGGCGCTGGCAAGAAACAAAAAGATAGATAGATAGATAGATAGATAGATAGATAGATAGATAGATAGATAGATAGATAGATACTTAATTAAAAGACAAACACAAAACAGAAAAGCTTTTCTTCTCTTTTTGCTAAATTGTCACCGCAGCTCATGACCTGGTGTATAACTGAATTGTTTTTTGTCTGTGACTTCATATAAGATTTTTTCCCTCTTCTCTCCAGGACTACACCATCACAATGTATTTCCAGCAGAGCTGGCAAGATAAGCGTTTGGCCTATGGTGAGCTGAACCTAAACCTGACTCTGGACAACCGTGTAGCAGACCAGCTGTGGCTCCCTGACACCTACTTCCTTAATGACAAGAAGTCCTTTCTTCACGGTGTGACAGTAAAAAACCGTATGATCCGACTGCACCCTGACGGCACCGTCTTATATGGGCTGAGGTAAACAGACACTCATTTATAAACCCTTATCTCTGTCATGTGCACTGATCTCACACTCCGTCTGTGGCTGCTCCGGTAGTCTACGTCAGTATTTCTCTCTTCAATGTGTCTAAACAACTGTGTGTCACATCCAGTTTAGTTTTCTTTTCTCCATTTCAACACGTATCCACCAGGTGAACCTCAACCTGTACTGAGAGGCCAGTTTCAGATCTGATTTATTAAAGATGTGAAAAATGTGTCGCCAAAAAAAACATTAACTGACTGACATGCGCCACAAAAGAGTTCGCTGTTAAGAAAAAGGTTTCGGCATCAGAGCATCACTTCATTCTAAATGCATCACCGCAACTTTGCTCTGAAATAATGTGAGTTCAAATGATACTCTATGACTTTTTAAAGAAGAACTCATACATTCTTCCTCTTACAACTAAAATGATGAATTCATGAGCAATAAAAGGCACCGCCGCTCACTTCAGGGCACTCGGGGGTTTCGCTGCTACAGCTTGACTCAGTCTGGTATGACCAGTGGTTTATAGTGCTAATGCAAACTTTGGGTAGAAATTCTGGTTCACTGACTTCATGACTCGTCTCCACTCGTGCTGCTTTCACTCTACATTTTAGTATTTAGCATTATCCCATATAATTATACATGTATATACATATTCCACATGTCTGCAGTTTGCTCTTTCTCTCCAAAGACAAAAAACAAAGGTTTTAATGTGAGTGAGGATGTGTTGTCTGCTTGTTCCCAGTGACTGACTGTTTCCCTGCCTCTAACCCAGTGCATGCTGGGAATTACCCAGAAAAGGAAGCCGGTTCAGTACAGAGAAAGAATGGATTTTCCGTGTCTTTTTTTATTTTACTTTTGGAACAATTTAATAATCCAAAGCATGCGTGATGCCCCCGAAAGAAAAATATGGACATAAAGGGGGAAATATTCCATCAGTGCTGGGGGAGGCTGTGACCACAAACACAATTAGTATGTACAGAAAATGGAGGGACGATATTACGAGAAGAAATCTAGAGCGAGAGCAAAAAGAGCAATTAAATGATTTTTAGAGCAGAAAAAAAACCCCGAACCTTTTCCGCTGCAGCCCTTAATTGACAGATGGAGGGAGGGGTGATTTCAGTCAGCAGTACACAGCCGAGGACTCGGTCGCATGACAGGGTTTAATGAAATAACTGCTGTCAGTAAAACAACATGTGGCACCAGAAACAACATCACCACTGCCGCTACGTGCCGTTCGGTCCTGTGGCAGCATGAATTATGACGGATTTATTTTTGGTCACAATAAACAGACTTTAAAGTTTTATTTATAAAGTTATTAGTCTACAAACTTCTAAGTGTGGCTCAAGAAAAACAACAGCAATGTTTTGGAAGGAGTGAGGGGTGATGTTAAATCCAAGATTCATTGACCCAGAAAGGCTATAAAAAGGTTCAAAATGCTCAAACCCTAAATGTCCCCGATCACTGACAAACAAGACAATTCAGTCAGCTGTAATGTGCGCAGAGGGACTCGTCAGAAATCCCCTGAGGACGGCTAAAAGTAAGAGAGCGTCCTGAGGTTTCTTCAAACTCAGAATGGATCGCTGCTTTTCTCAACACAAGTCGTTAAAATAAAGTAGTTTGATGGCGGCAAAGACGCTGGGAATGTGTTTTGTTCCATGAATAAAAGAAAACGGCAGTGACAAGGTTTAGATCATATGAAGTAATGAATTATTAATGTGATAATCAGTATTCACAAACTCTGAATTACTGAATTGGTGCTGACACAAAAAAGGAGGATAAGTTTTTCTTTTTCCTCCGTTATGGCTGAAGATTGTCAGCAGCAGCAACGTCTCACCGCTGGTGAACGCTGCAGACGTCTGTCCACCAAACGCATCTGTAACGTTTGCCCTGAACACTCTGTGACAGTTGCACACGGGCGTGGCAAACTGGTGAGCAGATGTCCAACAGCAATCCTGGAAAGGAAGAAAGGTCGGGAGCAGGATGAATATATTAGTTGGCCAATCAGATCAGCTCCTGTCACATACCCCCCACCCACCCACCCCCCCTTCTCACTGCTGTTTGATGGTCACAGGGATTAAATTAACTCAAATGGAAGAGCCTCGTATCTCCTACGAGCACTTGTGGATGAGATTATTAGCCATTAAAAATGTAACTTTGATTGTTTTTAAATGTGCGCTGGCTGGAAAACTTCCTCCTCCTCCAAATGGAAGCAGGTGGAAACAAGATCCATTTCATGCCAAAACAGTACCAACATCACAATTCACCACCTGATCTGAATAAACATCCCCAGCTGCTCCACTTGGTGCAGCTCGGCACGCGCAGCTTTCTCCGGCGCCGCAGACGCGCCGAGCAGAAACAAGCATCGTAAAACTCAGAAGAAAATGGCATCGCACCTGCATTTGCATCTCCACTGGCTTCGTGCCTGCACGACGCAGACAGCTAAGAGAGTTGCAGGAGGACGTTAGCGTCAGCCGTTCCTCCAGCATCTCATCCTCAGACATACTGCGCAGGGGTTTACTGTTATCATCGCCCACTGCAGTAATAGTGTATGGCAGATGGTGTCAAAACCCCTGGATCTGTCCTCCAGACCATTGTTTCAGCAGTGTACAGTGATTAGAGGCGGCGCATAATCTACATGCAGTGGTGATTCCAGGACCTTTGCAAGCCTCCTGTAAGCATGTAATTAAATCGCTTTGTTGAAATGTTTGACTTTGCCCAAGGGTTGTGTGGACATTTTTCCCCGGAACAGTGGATGAAACTTTAACAATAGAAGCTGTATCCTCAGTTCATTTGAATGTTGCGCCTCACGTCGAGGGTTTTGTTGTTTTAAATGCATTTTTCTTGTAAAGACCGCCTGTTTGAATCTGTCCCCTGTGCTACTCGTGAGCACAGTAGAATACAAACTGTGGACAATCACATTACACACACTGCTGCACCTTGTGCTGTGCTCTCACCTATCCACTCGCTGTGAAATCTGCTGATGCCTGTGTTTGTATTTCTTTCTTTTTTTTAAGCCTTTATTTACCTTGATTTCTACCGCTTACACTGATTTTAATCCGAGCTGCTGTTGTGTTGATCAACCAATTCTATTTTTGTATTCACTTTAAGTACCAGCTCACATTCTCTCTGCTTCACAACTCTGTCCTCATTTTACATCCACTGATCTGGTGTTGGATGTTGAGTGATGCCTTCTGTCCACCTCAGTCTTCACTCTGTGACGAGTCAGGATACGTTTTAGACTTCAACACTAAAAAACAAACATGTTTACAATCAGGATTATTCTGTAATCTCATAAAAACTCATTTATACTGATTTTAAGTGAGTCCTTAAAACAGTCTTGCAGACTGCACAGTAGTCAGTTCGAGCACCAGTGGTGGGAAGTATTTATACTCAAGTACTGTGCATTAGTACAGTTTTGAGATACTTGTACTTCTCTTGAGTATTTTATACTTCAGCTCCAGAATATTTCAGATGGAAGTTTTTGTCAGTTACTTTCAGATTAAGACTTTAGATATAAACTTGTGTAATACAATGGATTGTTGAAGCTGTTTCAAACCATCTTGGCTTGTTACCCTTTCAGGTGAGTTGTCATCAGTTCCACCTTTAAACTGTTCAGAAGGTTTGAGGCCCAAAGTGGTAAAATCAAAAAAATGTTGTCACAAAAAGAAGAGAAAATAAATAATATAGATAAGAGCAGCAGAATGATGCACTTTGATATTGAAGTGCATTTTTCTGATCATCCTTTTGTACATTCACGTTGGATGTTGAATGCAGCACTTTAACTTGTAATGGAGTATTTTTGTGTTGGTGCACTGATACTTTTACTTAAATAAAAAAAAAAGATTTGAGCCCATCTTCCACCACAGCCACTGACATGTGATATATGACTATAATATACAGACTGTAGTCTATAAGTGTGCATGTTCCTGCCCCTGGTTCCTTTCCCCAGGAGTGGACATTGATTGTGCAAATCAAAAGTTGGAGGTATGATGGTTCATGTGCACTGCAGGTCCAAATCAAATCTGGAAAGCTGCTGCCAACCACCACCTTAGATTTAATATCTTTTTGAGAAAACTTTGCTTAAATTGTCATTTTTGCATAAGTGTGATATACGGTGGCGAGATTTTACCCTTGTGCTTTCTTCCTGTGTGGAGAGGAGGGAGGGGGCAGAGGACTGCTGAGTGGTGCAGGAGGGAGTTTGGATGTTGCAAACAAAGAAAGTCGTTCCAAGCATCAATAAAAGAAGTCGTGTCAGTAGAAAGTTAGAGCCTGGTGCGCACGACGGAGCAGGTTTTTCTAACTGGCCAGTGAGATGAGAGTCTGAATCATCGTTAGCGAACGGACCGTCCAGTTCTGTAGCGCTCCGGTTGCTGAGAGCATTCAGGACTTTGTTGAGCTCAGCTTTCACCAGATGGTGTTTTCTCTCTTCCCATTCCTGTAAATCTGCTCTCTCATGTTCCTCTGTTTATTAAACCACGGTGTAGTACAATGATCTTTGTTTGGTACGCGAGCTACCTCACAGAGGAGGACGCATCAGCAGACTGTGTAGGTGTCAAAACTATTGCTCACATGTCTGCAAACCTCCCTGTCTGTAGTGCTGAGCTTTCTGGGATCCACCTCCAGGTTGTTTTCAGCTGTTGTGTTGTCGGCGTGATGCGTGGTCCGAGGAGCCAAGAGAGCTGCCGGTAACAATGAGAGGAATGCACATTTAATTGGAAGATTTTACTCCTTTGTTTTGCATTGTGATGACATTAAAGAAGTTACGTCTCTCACAAAGGTTAAGCAGCTAATATTGCACATCATCCTGAATGGACACAGTGCAGAGACTGCTGAGTGTGGACTGCAGAGCCTGTTCAGGTCTGAGGCTGCTGCTGCTGCTGCTGCTGCTGCTGTTGACCATCTCTGGTGGGACTGTAAGTTGCTGACCTACATCTGCTGACATTTCCAAATCCCAGGCCCTCACTGTGAGCCGTCCCAACTCGTGCCTACTCAATGATGATGCTCTCCTGACTTGTTAAGTGTCACATAAAAAGTCAATTTTATTCGTAGTGGGGCTTTTTTTTCTCTCTGCCAGGGGGCAAAGAATTCATTTCTGTCCGTTACTCCGAGCTGCTGCCTCTGCCAGGATTTCACTACTTCACTACGCTACTGTACCACGGGTATTTTCTTTTAAAAGCAGTGACTGTAACTCTTGACAGGGTATGTCTTCCTGCGTATGATCACAGAGGACACAGCTGGAGGTTTCCAGCAGCACATCGGACGGCCTCTCCGTGTTTTAGCTTCTTTCTTTTCTTCTTAGTTTCTACAGTAAGACGAAACTGCAACATATTGCTTCACCATTACTTCACGGTTTGGGCCCAAGTTTGTTTGGTAGTGATGTAAAAGGACGAGCTGGTAGATAGTTGGTTCATTGTCATTAGACTTAAAGGTCTTTTTCTCAGTCAGCTTCTTACTCTGAATGATGGGATCTACATTAAAACCCTGTTTAATACCAAAGTTAGAGTTTAGAGATTTCTGTTGCTTTTCTCTTCTTACTTGTAGCTTAGCTTTATTAGCTTTATTAGCTTCATTAGGGCTTTATTAGCTAATGTAAGCCATGTTATTAATGATGATGTTGTTGTTTTTTTGACATTTCATGCTTTATTTCCAATTTATTCTTAAAGCACCTTCTCTCTGGGGTTTAATAAAATCATATCATAAAAAAATGACTATATACAGAGATGGCTACATACATAACAACTACTCCCCCCCCCCACCTGTCTAACCAAGGTGGTTAAATTAAAAAATGTTAATGTATCTCAACATACTGAATATTCTGTATCGTCAGATCTCCAGCACCTCCTCATTGAGCCCACAGAGTCACAGCACAGATAACTGCATAATCAATACATCTATCACCACTGATGAAGAAAAAGTGAATGTGTAGGTTTCCCTCTATGTGATAACAGCCAGTGGATCCAATTATAGCCACGATTTTCTCTGAAGTTCATCATCGTCTATATGATGGAGGGCTGCATGTTTCTTCAGTTTGTAGTTTATTAAAGGACGGTGTTGAAGGACGCACAGGTTCAGGACTCCAGCGTCTAACATGGAAGACCAGAGCTGAAGATGGAGAGAGAAAGACTTAAAAACTCCTCTGTCCTTTTATTTTCTTAAAACCATTTTTTGTCTCAAAACGAACATGCGCAGCTCAGAGAAGAGACATTGTCTGTTTCAACTTTTTGTCTGGAAAATCATATCTGCCATGCAACCTTTCCTATGAATGTAATTAGGCGGGATGTTCTCCTGTCACAGTGTGTATGTAGTAGCCCCGCTGTAGCGCTCAGCAGAGCAGCGCTGTGAGGCAGCGGGGAGGTGCAGCACAGTGCAGCAGCACAGGATGCAGTTTGAGCAGCTGAATGCTTGTGCAGCAGAATGCAGCTCAGTGTCATTGTGAATAATAAATACATACCTGTCACACATTTTGTTTATGTATTATTTTCTTCACCCTCCTGGAGCCTCCTGCTCTCATGGACCCAGAGGCCCCCGCATGCTCCTGTGTTAATCTGGCCCAATCAGCTTTAGTAGAACATATTTTGTTTTCCAATTACCCGCCGACGGCACTCTGCTCACCCCACCATGACCAATTTACAAACCCTGCGTTCAAGCAGTATATTTCCAAAGCAAACAGCTTATTACCTACTGTATTACTGTTTACTGTAGATGGCTGTGGACGTTCGTTTATTGCATCAGTGTAAACCTGCAGCAGAGCTGGTGGCTTTGACTAAAACATGATTAATAATGAATCCCAAATGTGAAATATGCTTGAAAGGGTAAAACTTGATATCAGCCTCATCACGCTCTAACATGCACACAGAGACATACGGTGTGCACACATCAAACTTTCCCTGTGAACGTGCTGCTGGCTTCTGACACTGAGATGATGAGCTGAAAATTAATTCCTCTATTTCATGTACACGGGAGGGCGGTGAGTGAATGAACGCCGGTGTGATGAACACATACCAGCCCGTATGAACCACAGAAATTTAATTACTAAAATGTGCTGCACCGGTAAATATAAGTTAAAATGCCAAAGAGCCGTACATGTATAATTTGTAGCCAAAGCTGTTTTGCCGGGCTGCTGGATTTATTGACATTAATAAACTGCTATGCATACATCATTCCTAAAGCTACCTGGCAGAAATGCACATCTCAGAACCAGCAATAAATAACGCACATTGACAAAATCGCACACAGAGGCTGAGCATTTAGTGATCCACATAAAAAGAAATGACATCTCCAGACTACTCACAGAAACATAGAAAATGAATCATATTTAAGAGTCTCCGGAAAAGAAGGAAAAATAGTGAAAGTTATTTAGAAAGAAAAAAAAACTCTTAACATAAGAGAGCAATGGTTCATTCTCTCTGTTTGTCTCCAGCTCCCTTTTAATGAACCTTAAAAGTCAGGTCAGCGACCGGGTATGTGCTCTAAGATACATGTGGTATTGGTAAAACATCCTCACAATAATGTAATGTTAAAAGCTGGTCATGAATTATTGAACCGATGCACTTTCTCTCTCTCATGTTTTCAGCAAACAACCACAAAATAATTACTATTAAAGGTACAATATGTGACTTTTCTACATTAAGATTTCTGTAAATGACTAAGCCTATCTTATATATTTAGTTGAGCTGTGTAATTACATTATTCAATAAAATGCAGTCAGTGCAATTTTCATACCCAGAGAAATCCGTATTTTAATCAACCATTTGTGCCAGAAGCATCAAAAACTATATATTTTAACTGGAAGAAGGATTTTAAGTCATCGGATCGTAAGTTATCAGAGAAACAAGCAGAGCAAACAGTCGCAGCAGTCGTTTGAGAAACGCTGATTTTTACTGTGAAACTTTTATTTGTCACGATTCTGTGTTTTAATCACTGAGTCCGAGACAAGGAGACGAACGATTCAGCTCCCGGTCGGTAAAAAAACCACCTGAACGGCCGACACTGAAAGAATCCAAACCAGGATTCTGATGATGGCAACGGTGGTGAAGACAACGACTCCCATGATTCCACACAACAATCACCAAACTCCATCTCTTGCTCTTGTTTTGATTTATTACATATTGTGTGTTGAAAGTGTTTCATGGGGAGGCGAGGGACGCGTCTGTGTCTCTGTGACGTCACCTCAGTCTCTGTTGTGTCTCTGTGTGTTTTTCTTAGAATAACCACCACTGCTGCTTGCATGATGGACCTGAGGAGGTACCCGCTTGACGAACAGAACTGCACCCTGGAAATCGAAAGCTGTGAGTAATGCAGAAGAGCCTGTGTGGTGTTTTTTGATTTGCTCTCTCACATCAAAGCCCTTCCAAAACAATAAGCATGAATGCCAGAGAGCTGTTTATACTGGTCGATCACAACCTTAGATTCACCATAAAAATAAGACGTGATGACGTCAAGTTTCTGTTTTTTTGGTGAATACATGTGTGGAGGATAATCTGGATGAGGCATGAGTGAAATGTTTGGCATCTCTGTCAATGTGGGCCATTTGTCAGATGCTCTAGCTCTGCAGCTGATGACTGCTTTGAGAAATAAAGAAGAAATCACGGTGCTTGATGATGTGCATTGATTAGTATTCCCTCAGTGTGACAGATGGATCGGGCCACCCCTGGATCTGTGGATGGTGAAGGCAAACTGATTACTTGACCTGCGGTGTGGCTCTTAACCCCCAAATCACACTGGTATCACACATTGTCTGAATGAGTATAGTTTAATACCCAGCACATCCACAATAATCACTTTAATGAATCATTTGTACATGGGACACAAAACTAAGCAACTAATACATTTTACATTACATAAGTAACAAGGATTTAATAATTATTTTAATAAAATGGATAGAAATAAAAAAAGCAAGTGGTCAATTTGCACATATTTGGTCCAACATCTAGACGTTTGTTCTAAAATACAGTAACTTTTCTTTATCTACCATATTGTCTTTAAAGGAGCAATTCAACAATTTAGGAGATCACTCACTTTCACGCAGAGAAGATCTGGAGTATCTGCTGCAACTTCACAGGCAAGATGAGGAGACAAGAAATAGTCCAAATTAAACAAATAATTCATAACGTGTTACTGTTTTCAGTCTTTACGCTAAGCTAAGCTAAGCTAATGGCTATAGCTTCAAATTTATGAGAGTGGTATCAATCTTCACATTTAACTGTTGGAAATAGAGCAAATAAATGCTCCTTCCTTGGTAACCAGTCAGTCATTTGAATTTGAATTGCTTCAAAGAAGATTATCAAAAATCCTAAATCAGCAGGTTTTCAAAACTAATGGATAAACTCAGATTTTTGTTTTTCTTTCGATGTATTTCTGTCGTGTTTTGAAGTGGCAGCAGTGACAGTGTTACAGAACTTTATACTGTACGTTTTTACCATTTTCACCATCCCTTCAAATTGACTTAAAATATCAATTACAATAACACATTATCATCTTGGTGTATGAGCCATGACTCTCTGAACCAGGTGTCACAGTCAAATCTTCCTTCAAATTAGTCTTTAATAGACAGTAGTTATATAGTAGTTATAGTTATAATATTAGAGAGGACGTTCTTCATTCTGTTGATGGGAGATTTAGTGTTGCACCTCCATAAACTTGGCTGTCTCACAAGATACAGATTTTAAAAAGACGAGGCAGCAGAGGCCAAGCTATCCTGACTTACAGATCTAGTATGGGTCAAGCTTCAAAAAACCTTGGCTCCTACATTTCCCATAATGCAACCAATAGCACTTTTTTATGAGACCACTCGAACTTGGTAAATGCCACATTTTTTAATCTCTAAGCCTAAATCGAGAGAACCCTGGTGGCATCATTAGGGTTTTTCAAAGCTCCCTCCAGAGCTGCTGGATTCCTCTCTATGATCATTATGGGATGTAAAAATGCAGACTTTACATATTATACAATATAATTTAACTGACAGTTGTTTCACATCTTTTTTTTTTCCAAATGCCTTTAATTTAGATAAATCATTATTCAGGAGAAAAATGTGCAAGTGGTGTAATTAAAAATTGTATTTGCTTGATCATTTTCATTGACCGCTTCATCAATCACTCCCACTTGCTCAATACACCAGATATTTGTGGTGGTTGCTGTTCGAGATAAAACTGCAGTGTGTTTACCCTCAGGGTCTTCAGTAAGCAATGAAATATGGATATGCCATGAATTAAAAAGTTGCAAGAATATCTGCTGTTTATGCTCTCGGAGTGCTCTGCATTAGTGGGGGTTGTGCACGCTGGCCATCAGTTTGATTGATTAGGCAGGCAGTTCTTTCAATTTCATGGACAATGTCACATTTCCTTACCCTATAACCTCAGAGAGAGATTTAATGGTAATGAATCCTGGTCCCTTAGTGAGTTTAATGCCATCCAGGTCTGGACGTGTGGCAGTGCAATGTGAAATGTAGTAACACTTCCCGCTCTGAGAAATGCCTCTGCAGTGAATGCACGCCGACGTGCCGCCATAAATCTGCCGCTGTGGTCACTTTCAATTGCACTGCCAGTTGAGAATGTGTGTGAGCGCCATACAAAGTGACACATGTTAATGAATATTCACGCAGGTAGTAATGCATGCAGTGATATACTGTAGCTCCATAGGAGGCTGGACACTGGAGCATGTGATTGCAGAGAACAGACTGATTTAAGTCTTCGGCAGGATTGTTTTCCACTGAAGGAGTTTCTGTCTCTGCTGCTGCTCGGTGCTACCGGAGGAAACAGAATCCAAACACTTCATGTCTCTCCTCCCGCTGTCTGTCTGCAGCACTGAACACAACTCCGACTCCAAGAATACAAGAGTCAAAGTTATGGTTGATGTTATAGCAAATGAATGGATTAAAGTTGATGGTAAATCATATTTTGAGCAGTAATATCTTTTTGAAAAATGAGACAACCTGACGGACATCTGTAGCACTCAGTCAGACATGCAGATTGTTGAAAGTGCACTTCTAGTGTAAATGGACATCTCATTGTTGAAAACAGATGATGTATGTAGTCAGTTTGAAAAAACAATAATTCATTTTTGTCATTAGTGCCCAGAGGAACATTTTTTCCACTGTTTTTTTCTCACTGGGACCATTAACATCTAAAGGTAAACACCATGAAGCCATGTTAGGTGATTAGCCTCCAAACGTCAAGACTACACATGTAGAGAGGTTGCTCAGTCCTGACTGATGGCGTTAGTTAGAAACAAGTGTTTGATTTGTCAAAGCGACCTCAACTCATTATCCGAACTCCTGCAACAGACTTAAAACAGAAACTTTAATGTTTGTTTCTTCATCACACTCACACTCCACATGTGATTTTCATCTTTATCTTCCCTTCGACACAGATGGATACACCACAGATGACATCGTATTCTTCTGGCAAGGAGGAGACAATGCTGTGACGGGCGTGGATAAGTTAGAGTTACCTCAGTTCTCCATTGTGGACATCCGCTTGGTGTCCAGGGAAGTCAGGTTTATTACAGGTAAGACTTTCATAAAATCATACCCACTGCAATTAGGCTGATAGTGTGTCCACTGCATTACACAATGTTATTGTTACGCGGTCTATGAACACCTCTGCATCCGTCACCGCTGTGAGTGTGGGCATCTGTAAATACGTCATCGTCACTGTGGGGAATGTGATTATATTTGGGTCATGCAGAAAGACAATTTTCTTTTCAGTGCAGCAGATTGTAGGTGGCCATTTCCTGAAGTGCCAAACATCTTTATTCTCAATGAGAACAGTAACTGAGGTTGTTCACTGACATATTTCATCATGCGTTTCAAATACAATCTGAAATACTTCAATCTACTTTACTACTTGACGTATTCCCACATTTATTTTACTTTGCAGATTGACGTTCTACATGCTAACACCATATGAATCACGTAGATACTATCATGCATTACTTGCACCAAATGAAACAGCTGCAACATTGAAAATGCTGTGTACAGGTTAATCAATGACTAAAACAACGCTCTGGAATCGGCCATTTTGAATAAAGAATTTTATTATGATTTATGTTTAGATTTTGTAATAAATTTCAGGGGAATCAGATTTTTTTTCTGGCTGAAAGTTGGATGAGAGGATCAATAACACTCTCACGTCTGTATGCGAAATATGAAGCTACAGGCAGCAGATGATTATCTTATCTTAGTTTAGCTTAGCTTAGCGTAGCTTAGTGTAGCTTAGTTTAGCGTAACAGAAAGAGTAGAAACAGCAGGAAACAGCTAGCTTGGCTCTACAATGAAAAAAGAAAAGGTTAGAAATGTATGTACCCCTAAAGCTAATTAATTGGCAATGTATATCTTGTTTGTTTAATCAGTAAAAATAATACTAAAGTGTAAAAACAATTTGTAGTGTTACGAGGAGTTCTGTGCCTATTTTCACAGAGCCAGTTTTTCCCTGTCTACAGTGTTTAAGCTAAGCTAAGCTAAGCTAAGTGCCTCCTGCCTTTGGCTTCATGTTTAGCGCATGGACATGAGAGTGGTATCGATTATCTCATCTAACTCTCAGCAAGAACATGTAACTTCATACATGTTACACGTGGTCAGGTGTTTGTCTAAGTGATCTAAAAGTTTTGTGCGAGCGCAGCTGTAATCATAGCAACACCACAAGCAACAAAATCAAGGCGAAAGTCAAATTTAGGTGTAATTCTAATGTTTAATGAAATCTGTGAACATTTGTTGCAGCCATTATTCTTCAAAGCACTCGGGTGATCTAAGGCGTTCGTCTCACACTTGATGAAGTATGTATGCTAAGGTATTGATTCATTAAAAGATTTACAGGAACCTGGAGATGATGAGGTCATCCATCATTGTGTGTTCCCCATAGCAAATAGCCTTTTAGATTAAAACCATCACACTTATCTCAAGTCTTTTTTCTTTGGTGACAAATTGGACATAAAACTGTGGATATGATACATAGAACAGAATTTAACTATTATTTAGAGTAATTTGTATAGTTTCCAACCTCATAAATATGTGTATAGCTGAAGTAGAGCCGTCCAGCCTTGATGTTTATATTGCTTTGTGCGTCAGTATTGTATTGTTGTGGTAGTTTAAATTAAAGTGTAACCAAAAGACCAATTAATGCCCTGGCACAACCAGCTGAGACATTCCTGCAAAATGTGCAAAATGGAATTACTTGCCACCTCACAACCACATATAGTACATCCTCCTCCCTGTGTTAGTGTAATGGCACGCGCTGCGATTATGCACCTCTAAAACGCCCTTTTGGTAATGTTTAGAGGACGGAGAAAGTGCGAAAGAAAGGCAGAGCAGCTCTCTGTGACAATTCTCAGTGGGATGCTGGAGCTGCCTGCTGAGATAGGGGGTTGCAGAAAAATCTGCCGTGTTTGCGACTTTCTGCCATGTTTAATTGGAATCGAACTTGTCCCTGGAAAGGAATCCATCGCTTTGGGGAAATTAAGTGCTCCATCTGAACAAATGGAGAAATGACTACCCTGCGTGTTGTCAAAGTGCAGAGTTTGGAACTCTCACCCGTTTCCACTCTCCACTGCTCTTTTCTAAACTATCGCTCCATCCTTTCTCCTCTCAGGTTCATATCCAAGGCTTTCACTGAGTTTCAGGATTAAGAGGAACATTGGATATTTCATCCTGCAGACATACATGCCCTCCATCTTGATCACCATCCTCTCCTGGGTCTCCTTCTGGATCAATTATGATGCCTCTGCAGCTCGGGTGGCCCTGGGTAAGACATAGCCGCCGCTGCGTTATTAAAACTCCTAACTGCTCCCATGCACTGGAAGCTTTGTAAATAACCTGATTTAACTTGACAGATGTAAACAAAAACATGCTAATTAACAAATATCTAAATCTGTTTATGATATGTTTGAAATATGCACTGAATAATTAAGAAAAAAAAATGTTTTAAACTTTTTTGCGAGTTGGATAATTGGGTAATTAATCATCAAAAAATCGATACTGATACAAATATCAGGGGAGCTAATTATTTAATGGCAGGGAGTGTTGTAATACACCTGTACACAGCAGTGTACATTTACTCTCTACAAGTGTAATTAGATACAATTTTGGGGTTATTTGTACATGAGTATTTCCAGTTTCTCCTACTTTTATTTTACTTTTAACTGCAGTAGCTTAATGCCACACCTTCAGGTTGTACTCACTCTGCAGATTCAGATTTTCACAAACACCAACAAACAAAACTGTTATAGATTAAACAGCATTTAAAGTAGGTATGAGGACCAGCTATAACATTAATATCCATTGTATAATAATCTAATAATATGACAATGTGAGTACTTTGCTGCTGGTCATGCTGTTGTACATGAATGCAGGACTTTATTTTTCCAGTGTAGTATTGATGAACGTCCTCCGTCACTGATCTGCAGCGATGTTGGTCAGATGATGTCTGTGCAGATGTGAATGTGTCAGTGTTTAAACACAGTGTCATTTCTGTCTGATGGTGAATTGTTTGTCTCTGTGTGTGCTGCTGTACTCAGGTGTGACAACGGTGCTTACCATGACAACAATTAACACCCACCTTAGGGAGACTCTCCCAAAGATTCCGTATGTGAAAGCCATCGACGTCTACCTCATGGGCTGTTTTGTGTTTGTGTTCCTGGCCCTGCTTGAATATGCCTTTGTAAATTACGTGTTCTTTGGCCGGGGCCCTGCGCAACAGAAGAAAATCAATGAGAGGCTGAACAAAGCCAACAACGAGCGCACAAGATACGAAGAGAAGCGCCTGAGGGAACAGGTTTGCAACTTCGTCTGCTGCCTCTCTGTTACTCCACGTCTGTGTGTCAGTCAGAGTTCAAGCACAAAACAACTGTGTTCTGCACATAAGATTTCAAGCCATAGTCATTTAATCCAAAGACACATATACAGCATTCCCTGAAGTAATCTTCCAGAAGCACACTGATGCCACCACAGCCCGATATGCATTCACCAGCCATCATCCATTGCTTCTCCCTCAAGCACTGACGGCTTTTTATCGAGCATAGGCTTTTTCATTGAGATAGTGATTCATCTAGCTCAACAGTGGTGTAAACATTCTCATTTCTTATTTAGGTTGTTGTCTATGTTTATGCTGTAGGCTTCATTCATTCTCACTCTGTTTCCTTGTGGTTTAACGTGTTCCAACGAAATTAGACAAAAGTTGAAAGCGCGGGATGAGAAGGCATTGGCACGTTAACAATTTGTCGATGGGAAACGCTGAACTAGTCAGACTGAATGAAGCCCCCTCCCCCCTGTTTTTTGTGTGTGAAGTGCTAAATGCTGTGTTTATTCAAAGTTGTTCCTGTTGACTTTATGTCCTTTATGCATTTTGTAAATCCTAGAAAATGTGCTTATTTGCCAGTATTTTAGAGCCGTTTTAATGTTCTCTTCATTTTTCTTTCACATTGCAAGGACTCCATTTCCGTGCCGTTTCAAACCAACACCTTCAGGTCATTTACACAGCGAAGAAATCTGTATCTCGAGGAACAAAGAAAAGTTGGGGTACATGTATTTAGAAATCATATCAGCTGTAGGCCAGAGCCTCACGATAAAGTCAGATGATTAAGTCACTTTTTTTTTACAAGTGAAATTCACTAGTAGATTTCTGTTTAAAGAATCTTAACTATTTCTGTTGCATGCAAAGAAATGACATTCCATATCATCCCTGCATTTTGCTTTAGCCTGACAGTTTCTGGGATGGGAGGGGGGGTTAATATAAGTTTTATAATTAGGGGAATCTGGGGCTACAGCTCGACACGACCGCCCTCGCTGACGCTCCTATCCCCTCTCCTCGCAGGTGGATGCTTATGGAAACATCCTCCTCACCACACTGGAGATGAACAACGAAGTGATGCCTTCTGACGTGGGGAGCAGCGTCAGTGACTCTCGGAATTCAGTCATGTCCTTCGACAGCTCCGGGGTCCAATTCAGGAAGCCCATGGCGCCCCGAGATGGCTTCAGCCACCACTCGCTGGATCGGAGCGCCATGCGGAGCCGGGCCAACTGTCGGCTAAGACGACGCTCCTCCAAGCTCAAGTTGAAAATCCCAAACCTTTCAGATGTTAGCACCATTGACAAGTGGTCCCGGGTCATTTTCCCCATCACCTTTGGATTTTTCAACCTAATCTACTGGTTGTACTATGTGAATTGATGTGCATCCCACTAGGAATCATGGGCCATATTTTGAGAGCACATTAAATTGGCTTTGATACAGTTCCAAAATATGTATACACATATACAAGTTGAACATATGTATATGCATATTTCTATATATTATATTTATATATACACGTGTGAAATCTGAAGGACCTTTCTGCTGTACAAAATATTAATAGGATGACTTGAATGTTTAAGAATAATTGTGAGAGAAGAATTTCAAGGCTTTGAGTTTCTTTTTCCTCCTGAAACAAACAACAAACAGACAAACAAACAAACAAACAAACAAACAAACAAACAGACAAACAAACAGACAAACAAACAGAGATCCCGTCAGGGGTTTTTGGAACTAAAGACTGCATGATATTTTTGCTAAAAAAAAAAACAAGAAAAAAGAGAAAGTGAAAGCTCTTGAGAGAGAAAAGATGTCTCAGAGTCCCATTGACTTTTTATTGATACTTATTGTAATCAGAGATCCTCTACCGCAGCTCATGAAATCAGTGGTGGCTTGTCTGTTCAGGCATCAGCTGAGTGAGATCCTTGACACCCACCCCCCTCTCCTCTCACACCCCTCCCCCGTCCCCAACCCTCCCACCGCTCTCACCCCTCCCACTACACACACACACACACACACACACACACAACCCCACCCCACCCCACCGCACCCCACCCATCCACCCATGGATAACATGCACGGAAATCTCCGGTTCTACTATGTACAGCAACCTTGTTTGGATTATGTGTTGTTCCTTGGGTTTTTTGAAGTGATATCGTTCTCTTTATCAGACATCAGCTCTGGTCTGCTGGTCTCCGTCAGAGGGCCGTGTGGATGGGATGCTTGAGTGCCGCGTTTCCCGCCCAGAGTCGACGCAAAACTTGTATTCCTTTCTCTTCTCATGTTATTTTTAGAAACATGTCCTCGGGGGGGGGGGTCTTTTTTCATTATGGTTAAAAACAAATGCTGATTATTGTAGATATGATTTTGTCTTGAAAAATACTGTGATTTCAGAGAGTGTCAGAAGATGTTCTAGAGCTAGGGCATTATGAGATAAAAGAGTCAAAGGTATGCATTACTCATTTTGATTGTTTGAAAAAAAAAAAACATATTATGTACATTTTATCATTCAGTATTCTCATGAACGTATACTTGTACTGTTTCTTTCCTCCTATTGACCGATTCACACGCTCTTTAGACGCAGAGTTCATCGACGTCATATCCTGCTTTGTGTTTCGCTACAAGGACATGGGGGGATCGCTTTTGTGAATCGTTTGAGATTATTCCACAGTGAAGATGTGAGAACATGTATATTCAAAAGAGTCAACATATCCGCCCACAGTTTGACCAGTAGTCATTCAGTATACAGTATTTCTTTGTTGTTGAGCGTTTCTTCAGTGTTGGAGTCAGTTTCTGAGGGTAGGATTATTTGACTGGGATAGTGATGGGCAGCAGAAGACGTGGGGAGAGAGGATTCAACATTTCACACCCAAACTCAAATCAGTGCCGTCGCACCAGTGCTCTGAAGCCCGAGGATCAGACACGGGACGGATACAGAGATCCTCAGGCTGATAAATAGCCATGAATTCAAATGACGACCAAAAGGCCTGTAATCCATAAACGTTACTGTTTTGTTTTGCTCTCAAACACACACACTTCATTTCCAGTGCTCAGGTTCATTTCCAAAGGGAAAAAAAAAACTGTTGGACCTAGATTTTTCTATTTATTTATTTTGAAATCAGACTGAATAATCAAGTGTTTAATAGTTGTTTGGTTTGTGTAGCCACCAAATAAACTTAAAGTCCGAACATTAGATGGCTGAAGCAGCTGGACATTGGATATTGTATGGAGGGTAGGAAAAAAAAGCAGGAGTATCAGTTTATCATCAGAAATATCCACTCCCCTCTGGGCGTAGTACGCATAAGACCACGATAAAGGAAGACTGATCAGAAACCAATTTGTCTCCACCAGTCATAGTGGAGTTTGTACAGTGATGTGGCCCGAGTTTAGTATTTTTGTTTCCATTTTACACGTTGTCGTCATATTCTTATAGAAGCAAATGAAGAAAAGAAAAGAAAAGAAGATCACCTTTAAGTATCCAGTAGTCCAGACTGACGTGCAGGAAGACGGAGGAAGTTACAGGGAGACGTAGTGAGTTGGTTTTGTTTCTGTCTGCAGCCCAACAATCTGTCGTTCGTCTCTCAGTGAACTGTGAGTCCAAACATAGTGATTAGTCTGAAATGTGAAGAAATTAAATTTGTTGTTGTTCATGTGAAACGAGACAGTGAGTCAAAAAGAGCCACAATGAGCGAAATTAGCAGCGAATGTCGAGAGAAAACGGCCTCTGGCTTCACATTTGACCATCTCACAGCTCTGGAGCAGGTTTTACATATTGAATGGTCACGTGTTAGTTCTTCACAAGTTGCCAAATGAGACTGAAATTAACTTGAAAACAGTAGCATCAGTTGTTTCAACAGCCTTAGTGAAGACGGCCCAGGAACTGATCAATCACTGCACTCAGAAGAGAGTTGGACAATTTCAAATGGAAAGGATCAAAACTGATGCAGCAGAACCAGATATTGTCTTTTTTTTTATCCCACTCATTTTTCTTTCTTGTCAAAATCTTGTGCCTACATTACCCACAATGCAACTCCATCCCCTTCAGTTCTGCGAGAGATTCAGGTGCGTTATGCTAGAAGTGGCTAATGTAGCCTCGAGATGCTAGCCTGAAGCAGAGGTGAGGAGCAGGCTGCAGTCTTTTCTTTCTCTAACTCCTTCAGACACCGACACTTTATTAGTTTGTTAGATTTCCTGTAGGTCCAGGTCAACACTGCTTTTTTTTCATAATTTTTTACTTTTTTATTGATTTATTTATTTACATATGCGCCGCCCCCCCCGCTCTGGGTGTAAAATGGAGCTGAATTGAGAGTTCCCCTTTAACTCGTATGTATGCTGCAATTGTAGTTTATAAAACGTGAGACGCTCCGCTCCAGAGACGTCGTTACTGGATATGATTCACTGTGATGATTTTTGCAGATATTTGGATTACATTCCCACAGCGTAGATTACTTCATGGTTGGTGTAAACGATGTTAGACATGGATTGTGGTGTCAGTCAGGGGTGGGGGTCACTGATGTGCACCTTCACATTCATGTTTCCAGGCAGATTTGTCCTTTACAGGTTTTTGAAGAAATAAGAATAAAGAAAGGTGGTGAGAGTTTGTAGAAAAAATAACACTTATTTTTTTCATCAGTTCATTCTGGTCTGCACTGTAACAGCTCGTCAAACTGTCCAGAGGCAATATGATGGATCTTTCCGAAGGGTTGAGTCAGACTATGAGGCCAGCAGCACAATAATATGAGATTTAAGGCAACTCTAAGTGTTATTTGAACTAAATCAGTGGAACATGTTCAAGTAGAAAGAAACCTTCCTGTACATTAGTACGTAAAGTATCAAATTCTCATTGAGTTTGGTTGATTGCCAGTAATAACTACAAACATGCCTATTCAGGTATGAACTGTTTCTTTGAGATAGCTGATGCATATCTTTACTGAACTCCAAACACATCCAGAGGAGGAACATTAGCAGCCCTTGCATGCTCGCAGTAAATATATTCACCTCTCATTTCACTCAGAACATGTATTACCTGCTTTCTGGACATGAAATCAGCACATTCATCCCAAAAGCTGTGAGGATGTTCTGTTCTATGCTTTTCCTTTAGGATCGTTGCTTATTCAAGAGAGAAAATACATTTCTTTTGACACACATGTTCAAGGAGTAGAGGAGGAGAAAAAAAAGTGTTGAACTGATTTCAATGTGAATTTTCTTGCCTCTAGTGTATATGTGTAATTACATGTGAATTGTACTGTAAATATGATATCTTTCACTTAATAGTTCTTAATGCATGAACAAAAACATGGCAGTTCGTAATACCAGCTAGCCTCACTGCTAATGGCATGGACAGCTTCTCTAGCATTGGCATACTTCTGCAAACGAAACCTAAAAAATGAAACACAAGAAATACATGATGTGGACGAAATAATGGAGAAATCAACAAAGTCTTCTCACAGTGAAGGAGGTGCTGGCGGCTCTGAGCTCGTAAGAACGAGGCTAATGCAAATGCCGATACAGATTTTCCCGGGAATGACAGAACGCCCTGGTTCACTGTCAGCCAATGGGACGGTGCCATCTTGAATCAAATGCTCTAGTTGAGTGTTCCCACTTTTCATATCTGAACGGACCTTTTTCCGGGAGATTTCAGCACAGTACACCTGCAGCGTTTACCTCAGCGAACAAATCACGTATTCGTCCACGAATCTGCTAAATTTACAGGCATGTTCGGCTAGCTGGCTTATAGAGGCTAGAGGAGCAGGGTTGCCTTAAGAAGGCGAGAGGGATGTTCTTTCCTGTTCCTCAATAAGACACTCAGCCAACTGCCAAAGTGTAGCTGCTCACTTACACTAACAACAGAGATCTGTGTAGGTTATCTCCCCGAACTAAATATGTTTAGCTATGTGAGGGTGTGATAAAAAAGTAGTTCCCTGGGTAACAGTTCCACAGATGTCGCCTGGTTCTCTTCAGCTAAATTAAACCCACTATTAGATGTCATCTCACATCTTGCCATATACCAGCTCGGATTTAATCTGGACAAAGTTATAAATCATATTACTCCCTGTTGATTCCAGTCTGCATGTTAGGGCGTTTCATCTGGGATTACACCAGCGCCCCGTGCAACATGGGCCGAGCCTCTGAACACAAAACTGTTGTGTGAGTTCTGAATAGTTCTGAGGCCGACCTCTCCTAAAAGAGTGGACCACCAGTTTCATCCAGAGCACGGCCGACAGACTCCTCACTGTTGGAAGAACTTCTGTTGCTGCATTCATTATTTTGTAAACCTTGTAGGTTTTGTTTTGCATGACCTGAGTTTTGAAAGGTTTATTTTCATATATTTTTACTTCACACCATCTGATTCATCTCCACAGCCAGGAAAAGAAAGATCC